TATGTGCATGAATTCGTAGGGGAGCATGGCTAGCTACACATTGAGCCACAAAGGAGGCTAAACACCTAACTTTTTGAACCAGAGGCTTGAAATTTTAAAAGTGTGAATAAGCAGTCAGACGGTGAGTTTAAATATAAATATTATATCTACCTCACAATTGAAATAATTCTTATTTAATATTCTAAGTATTTACGAAGTCTAAAAATAGGATTGAATCATAATACTACAAACTCTAAAGCAATGGTAACATAAAAATAACTTTCTTCTATGGTATATTATCTCCCTTTACTCATTTGAAATTGAATTATTTAAATAAACAACATAATGAGTTTTTAAAAATCCAATGTAATAATTTCAGTTCCAAATCACATTACTCTAGAAATAAAATCACCTTGTATGCTAGTCATTAATTTTAACTATCTAGAAAATCATATCATGAATTAAATGCATAAATGACAATAATGTATGGTGGTATACAAGTGCTTTCTATTTTTTAATTTAGGTTTCAAATGAAATTAATATTTTTACTCGTATTTTTTTTCTTTTTTCCATTAATACACTCATCTTAGGATTACCGTCAAAATAAAATTTAACTCACCCCTAGCTAATATGTATCTCATCGGTTCAATGGGTGTATGACATGCTCAATATTGTCTAAGGTGGAATGATATATTCTCACCTATGATTGATCCATGCTCCATTAGCAAAGTGTGGCATGAGTTTAATTTTCATTGTTATCTAAGGTGGAAGGAATTTTATCAACTTACACAAGTACATTAGCATCCTCTACTATTACCATAAGTGGGTGAACTCCTATAAATATGCGTATATAAGCATCCATATATAAAATATTTTGATTTGCATTTGTCATAATATGCTTTACCCTTTTGTGAGATTATGTTTGTTTACTAATAATTTATGTCATTATGTAAGAATCCGGGTCATTTTGTGAGAACCTATTGTCTTCTTAAGGGGCAAAACTATTGTATAAGCATTTATAAATTAAAACTTACATGCAAATTTTTTCATATAATATGATGAATCGGTTCCTAAGTAGCATAAATCATCAGAGATCATAATACACATGTTAATACATGGAAAACTTGGATACGAGTTAAATGCATATGGTATAGAAGTAGGAAATGGTACTCTATTTAGAAATATGATTATCCACCTCTAAAACTTAGTCAAGTTTTTGACTTTGAATAATTTGTTTGACATTCTCAATCATTTCTTCTCCCTTTGACACTAAATCAACTTATGAACCACAAGTTTTGATTAATGTTACATTCTATGTAACTTTGATACAAGAATTTACGAGATTTATTATTATTATAATTATTAATATGAATTATAACTCTTTATATTAGTACTAATTATAACTACAACTTTTATTAAATGATTTTTTTTGTTTAATTCTTATGTTATTTATTTAGTACTAACTTATTTTAAGTAGAATCATTATAATTTATGATAAGACTTATTAAGAATATATTCATAGTAGGTATCTTATTGGATTATAAATGTTGAACCAATACAAGGGACTTGTATTCAAATATTTAACTAAGAAGTTAACAAGACTTCATATTTAACTTATTTCAATTCTAATTTTGAGTGTAAATTATGTGATCCTTATTAATTGTTATTAAACTTGCTAAAGTTATCCAATGGGTCGAACATGAGCTGTTCGTGAACAACGAGCCGTTTTGACAGCCCTATTCTCAATCATTTCTTCTCCCTTTGACACTAAATGAACTTATGAACCACAAGTTTTGATTAATGTTACATTCTATGTAACTTTGTGTTCGGCTCGTTTGCTTAACGAGCCGAACACGAGCTGTTCACGAATAAAGAGTCCTTTAAAAAACTATAATCATGTAGCCATAAGACAATAAAGGTTTATGAAAGATTTAAAAATTATTATTTATATTAAAACATCATTTGAATCTAATTTAATAATTTTTATTCTATTTTCTTAATCAATATTTTAATTGATTATAAATCTTTGTAGTCTTGTAGTCAATTAAATACTACTTAATATATATATATATATAAACTTGATGAGTA